CCTTACTGCGTCCCCTTGCTCAGTCTTTGGATGGGGTGTGCAGAGACCAAAGGGAGCCCCAAACCACTCAGCATTCTGTCAGCAGAACCGCGTCCCCAGAAGAGGCCTCTGGACCCAGCCTCAAAGCCAGTTCAGTGTCTCATTCCTTCTTCCTGTGTCTCTGGCCAGAGGCCACCTGGAGGTCCCTGCCCTGCTCAGGGTTCTGGTTGAGACACTCTGAACTGCAGGCAGCATCTCTCCTGTGCCAGTTGCAGTGAGGTGGGCGCGGGCCATGGATGATCAGTTTCCCATGGCGGCCAGCCATCCACTTCCCTTCCTCTGCAGCCTCCCCGGCCCTCTGTGCCCTCGGCTCCTGCCCTGTCCCTCCCTGGGGCCTGCTCCTTCCTCCTCTTCCCTCAGGTGGCCCCTTGTGAACATCCCAGCAAGGAGGCCCTGTGACACTGAGCTCGCCACCAGCTCCAACTCTCAGTAAGAGTCTCTTGGGGGAAGTGAGATTGGCCACCAGCTGGGTGGTGGTAGGTCAAGGGGGCAGGGCAGGATCACCAGGAGCCACGGTGTCTTGTCCAGGGCTCTGGGGAGCAGGCTGGATGCCACTCAGTGAGACTCCATGTGCCATGGTGGGTGCAGGCTGCCCACTGCAGTCCCCTGGCTCTTGCTCCTAAGTCTCCACTTGAAAGGAGAAACTCAGGGGATGCTTGTCACATAGGTCCCCCGTCCAGCCAACCTGACAGGGCCATGCCGTGATAACCCACCCAGGGACTGGGCAGAGATATAGTCCTGGGCCCCCCTTTGCCTTCCTGGCCCACAGGAGCCCTGCTCACCCAAGAAACCCTGAGTTGGCCCAGAGCGCCCAGGTGCGCTCAGCCACAGCCACTCTTCTTGCCCTGGACTGACTGCCACAGGACCCTGACTGTGAGCATGCCCCCAGGGGCCTCTCCTGCCTTCCCAAGGGCAAGGGGGCAACTTCTCCCAGACAAGCACTGGGAACAGAGGAGCTGAGCCACACACCATTGCTCCCCAGCGCAGGAGACCAGCAGGTGGGAGTGGCCTCCCACTAAAATAGTCAGGTGGTGAAGATCACCGCGGGCACTTGGCCACTTGGAGACTGCAAGACTTCAAAGCCACCTGGCCAGTCAACATTCATGAAGTTGAATTTTGTATTCAATCCGATGGGTTTTGAGTCATTTTTTTCTGTTGTCCTAGGGATTGAACCCAGGGGTGCTCTACCACCAAGCTGCATCCCGAGCCCTTTGTATTTTTTAATTTTGAGATAGGGTCTAAGTTGCTGAGGCTGGCCTTGAACTTGTGGTCCTCCTGCTTTGGCCTCCGAGTAGCTGGGATCGGAGGTGTGCACCACCCTGTCTGGCTGAGTAATTCTCTCACATGCCCCCTGCACTCTTGCTCCCCGCCCTGAGAGGCATGTGATACTAATACTGCAGTTGTTTACGGATTGGTGAACTGAGGCTCCTTGCCCCTAGGTGCAGGAGGAGACAGCAGGTGAAGGGGTGATGTTAAGGGCAGAGCTTCAACCCCAAATCCACCACCTGACACGGTTCCAGAGGGAGGCTGGGCTGAGTGAAGTGCATCCTCAGGCAGCCCCTGGGGGTCGGCAGACACCCTGCTGGGGGTGCGCCAGCTCCAGCCCTGGCCTGGGAAGCCATCCTCACGCACCCCTAGCTGGCTGGGCCTGGGCAGCTCGTGCATCTCTGTGTGCCTCAGGTTCCTGTGTCCCCACTTTCAAGTGGCGCTTGGCTTGTGGTTGATGCCCGGCGAGTACAGGATCCGCAGCATCCCAAGGCTCCCAGACACCGCAGTTCCCCAACTCACAGAGGGCTCAGCTGAACATGGAGAAGGATCAATATCCAGCCCAGAGCAGGGCTCTGTCTTCTCATTTATCTCCCATCTCATTCTAGCATCACAGCATGCCAATCAAACCACATGGAAGGTTCGGGGTGACTTGCCACGCTTGCTTATGACCTCCAGCACTGATATGCCCCCAAGCTGGATGGCTACAGCAAATTCCTGGTGCCTCCGTGTCTCCTGCTTACATTTCAGCTCATTAGCTCTGTGTGTGTGTGTGTGTGTGTGTGTGTGTGTGTGTGTTCGTTCTCTGTTTCTGGATGAAGGACAGAAGGTTTACAGAAGCATGTGGCTGTGCATCCCTGTGCCTCCTGACACGCAGCCCTGGGGCCTTCTGGGGCCATGAGCGGTGGCGGGCAGGGGTCCCAGTTGGTAACAGCTGGTTGAGGCTGGGTGCTTCCCTGACACAGCCCCATCCTCCTCGGGGCTCCTGTGAGCTTCCTGCTCAGTCTCCCTTGGCCCTGCTGCAGGCTAATTCACAAGGACAAAAGATATGTAATGACCCCACGTCACAGATCTTCCCTTGGCTCCTTAATTGAATGAGGGAACTGGTAAGAAGAGCCATGGAAACCAAACCCTTCCTGGGGTAGAGGAGGAGGAGGAGGGATGTACCAGAGACAGGGATCCTTCTCCCCTGGAGGCCGCCAGTGAAATCATTCTTGCCTATTCCAAATTTCCTTGCAACCTCCCGCCTTTTGTCCAGAAGAGCCTCAAAGAAGCACCATTCTCAGTAACAGTGGGGCTGGGCTGGCGAGGTGGCGGAAGTGTTGCACAGAGGTGGCGGGGGTGTTGGGTGCCCCAGTGACGTCTTTTGAGTTTGATTTGTTGGGAGACTTCATGATTAGACTTTTAAAAGCCTGCATTGTACGCTGTCCTAGGCCAGGAAGCCAAGCTTAGAAAAATCAAGGCTCTTCCTTTGGATTTCACTTGTAGTCCTCTATCATAAATCTGTGTGGTTCCTGGGGCCCCACCTGGACCCGCTGTGTGGGAATCCCAGAGCTGGGCTCGCCCGGAGCAGCAGCACTGTTCTGAGTAATGGTAGACCCTATCCTATTGGGAGATGGTATTAAAACCAGATCAATCCTTCAAATAGGCCCAGCATAGCCAGCCCTCAGCAGCTGTTGACTGGACACCCTCTGAGTTGGCCTTGCTCTGCAGGACCCGTCCCCCTTCTCCAGAAGTCTTAGGCAAATCAAATATTCAAAAAAAGAGGCTTCCTGCCCTCCTCTTCTGCAGCTTCCAGACTGGAGTCTGTGAGCCCACAAAGTAAATCGGCCCAAGGAGAAGGAGCTGCTCAGAGAACCAAATGGGAAAGCTAGAACCTGGCCCATCTTGGTGGGTAAGCAGCCAGGACCCCACACTCAGCCCTGCTGGGCTCTGGCAGAAAGGCTGGGCGTGAATTGAGCCATGCTGCAGACGGGCACGGTGGAACGAGGCCAGGTTTGGGGGCCGGTGAAGGCAGGCCTCCTCTGACAGTGAGGTTGGGGCACTCATGAGGAGAAGGGGCAGGACCAAGAGCCAGGGGTTGGGGGACAGGGAGGGCTTAGCCAGGACACAGGCTACAGGGAACACACCCTAGAACCTCCCGTACCCTGTGGGCATGAGGAGCCAGCACAGGCCTGGCAAGGCAAAGTGGCCATCAGGGGAGGGGACAGAGATGAGGCCAGAGGACCAGGGTGACCAGGGCTGAGCTGGGCCAGCAGCCAGATTGGGCACCAGGGCTGACCAGCAGTACTGGTGGTGCAGCTCCGAGGGTGGACACAGGTGTGAGCGGATGTGCTCTTTGCCTTATTGCTACTGGACTAGTGGCACTCAGGAAGTGTCACTGGCCATAGGAAGACTGTTTAGGGAGGAAAGTCTGTTTTCCATATCTGTTTCCAAGAAAAGGAAAAGCAAACTAAGCTAAATAATAATAATAATGTGACAGGCACCAAAAAATAACCATCTTCTCAGGCTTGCTCCTCACCCAACCCCGGAGGCTCATGCTGTTTAGCAGTAGACCAGGGACAGCAGTAGCCAGGGAACATGTTGAAGGAACACAGCCATTATGAGGAAACGGGGCCTGGTGTGGACTGTCCCTGGAGGAGTCACTCCCAATACCCCCCGTGGATGCCAAGAGCTGGAGGGGTCACCTGTAGATACCTTTTTTCCCGTACACACATATATAACTATGATAAAGTTTAATTTATAAATTAGGCACAGACAGAGATTAGCAACTAAAAAATACAGCAATTACTGCATCACGTAAAACAAGGGTCACTTGCACACAAACACTGTGATGCCTCCATATCAGCCTGATAAGCAAGACAGCCAGGTGATAACAGGCAGGTAGTGCATACTGTGTGGATACTCTACACAGAGAGATGATACCTGTTGTAGGCAGGATGAAGCATGTAATCTAAAACTTATGAACTGTTTATTCCTGGAATTTTCCATTTAATAATTGCAGACCCTGGTTGACCACAGGTAACTGGAAGGTGACATCATGGATAAGGGAAGGCACTGCTGTAGTTGAAATCCCCCCTCCCCAAGAGGGTTGCGCAGGACCAAAACTCAGTCTGGACCTGCTGGACAAGAAATACCAATGTACACTGGGGTTTTTCTCCTCCCAGCCTAGCACAGGCGGTGTGTGCTGTAATCTTACATGCAATTCATGTTTTACACCAACTATTCCCAGCTGCTTTGTTGAGATTCTGATCCCCCCTCTTTGATTTAGTCACTCAGTCTCAGTCCCTCGGTTCCCCAGATCTGAAAAGGCAATCTTTTTAAAGTTAATGAGCTTAAATTTGCTTTTTTAATGTCAGAGACCCACGAGATAATTGGAGACTCGCTGGGAAGCAGCAGCTCTGAGCCTCGCGGGCACTGATTCTGTACCAGGCGTTGGCGAGGTCACTGGCCGCAGGCAGGGTCCCTTATCTTTCACGCCCCAACAAAAGAGCCAAGTTTCCACAACCTGTATGAATCACCCAAGACAGGAGACATGCGTGGGACATCCCAGAGCCCGGCATCAAGGTTTTTCTTTTTAAAATAAGCCTCAGGTCAGAACAGAGAGGAAGCACAGGGAATCTGACGTCGCCATGGAAACCGGCTGCCCGCCGTGCCTCACCGCCCGGGCTTCTCTGTTTTGTAGGTGGTTTTCAGCAAGTACTGCAACTCGAGCGACATCATGGACCTGTTCTGCATCGCCACGGGCCTGCCGCGGTGAGTGCTGCCAGGGGGCTTGGACGGGCAGCCCCCGCACGGCCGCTCTTCCAAGTCAGCCAGCCAAGCCCCACAGAGGCCGGGCACACCTCGGCCACCGCCCCAGCAGGTGCTGGCTGTGTCCACGTGGAGAGGAGTGCCACCAGACCAGACGAGGCACCAGTGCCCTCCCCAGGCTGGTTCCCCTCGGGTTGTTCACCTGCTGTGGGAGAAAGGAGGGTGGGGGGGGGGGTTCCCAGCCCCTCACCCTCCCAGGTGGCCTTTCTGTCCCAGGGGTCAACATTCAGCACAGTGCTCCTCCTGAGGGGGAAAGAAGGTCCCTGCAAGAGAACAAGACAACCCTCCTCCTTCCTAGTCCCGCCCGCACCCCCATCCCTGCGTGGAATTCAGACTTTCCTGCAGCAGTCAATTAAGAAGAGAACACAGGTCCGTGGTTTTCTACGTTGACCGTTGCAGGAAAGTCTGAATTCAGAACCGGTTCAGAAGGGTGAGCGGCAGCTCATCTCACTCCGGACAGTCCACACCACACCACGTGGAGGGACACAGAGTCCTTGGGATTCCCTAGGAGTTATTTTCCTTAATCAAGTTCATACAACAAGCTAGTGAATTTCTAATTATGGGTTGACCATCTCTGATCCAAAAATCTGAAATCCTAGTTCTCCAAAACCTAAACTGCTTTGAGTGCCACTGTGAGGCCGCAGTGACACACAGGGACACTAGAAACACTGTACCGCAGTGTCTTCAGGCTGCCTATGGGGAAGCACGTGGATTCCTGTTGAGACTTGGGTCCTGTCCCCAGCATAGCGCATTACGTAGACACAGGCTTCACGAAATCCAACCAAATCCAAAATCCAAATGCTGTGGTCTCCCGCGTTAGTAAGAGATGCTCGGCCTGCACCCCACCTTTCTGATCATAAAGGGCCATCAGGAGTGGTGCTGAGAGAGTAACCCTCAAGTTAGGGTCAGGGTAAAGGAGAGGGGTCAGGAGGACAGTGGGAGCTTTGCACAGGTAAGGAGAGGGAGACTCCATGAGGTTCTGGGCCTGAAACTGTGGCAGATGGCCGTTCCTGGGAGCAAAAACAGCTCACCGTTGGGGGTATCTTGGGGTACCGTGTACTAAGCACTGTGCTGAGAAATGTGTGCACGTCATCATTCATCACAGCTCTGGTATTCACGGCACCTCTGGCACCTTCATTGCCTGGGATTTAAAAATTCACAGCTGGAGCAGAGAGCCTCAGTAACTTGGTGGTGGTAACACAGCTCTGAGTGGGAGGCTGGAGGAGACTCCCCGTAGCCATATTAGACTGGTGGGTGAGCTCTGTGCAGTTCAGATGGACCTGGGGTAGGAGGGTGAGCCCAAGCCCTCCTCTGCGGACCTGCAGGTCCGTGCAGACCACATGTCAGATCTTCGACCCGTGGTTTTCCAGTCCCTGTCTCTGTAAGTCAGACGCGCTCCAGTTCCTCTTCTAAATTATTTAGGACTCTCCCGCCCTCAGGTTGCACTCAGCCACCAGCTTCATCCGGGGTGGGTCAACGTGTCGAGGACCACCTGCCGCCCCTTGGCCCTCGCCAGCTGCCCTTGGGTCGCCTGCCCCTCCTCTCCTTGTGTCCTGGTTCTTTCTGCATCTGTGCGTGGGGGCAGCGGGCAGGTGCGTGACTCTGGGGGAAAGGCTGACGGGGGTGTCTTTCAGGAACACAACCATCTCCCTCCTGACCACAGACGACGCCATGGTCTCCATCGACCCCACCATGCCGGCAAATTCAGAACGGTAAGGGGCGGCTCGGCTGGTCTGCAGCTCACTCCTGACCCGGCCGCACCACGTGAGCCGCGGTTTTAACTGACTGCCGAGGGGGGAAGCCTGAACTCTCTGCAGGGTGGGAGGGTGGGAGGGAGCGGGACGGGGACGGGGTGGGGAGATTCTCTTGTTTTCTTGCATGAATCCGTGTTTCCTCCCCGACCGGAGCCTGTGAGGAGGGGTGTGCAGATCGGAAACGGAGGCTCATGTCAGCACTAAGTGGCAGTGCCAGGCCCTGGGGTCCCTGCACTGACTCAGGAGTGGCTCTAGGAAGGTCCTCGAGACCCTGGGGACTGACCTACTCGGGGCAATGCTGGAACGTTCTGGGCACAGAAGGGAGAGGTGGCTCGGGCCTAGAGAGTGAGGAACAGTCGCCTACCGTGCCTCTGTGAAAATCTGCAGAACGTGGCCCAAGGAGGACACGGAGCAGGAACCCTCAAGCCAGTGACAGGTCCCTTCTCCAGGTAGCCTGGAAGTCCCCAGTCATCTGCACCTCATTGGCCACCGAGCAAGGCAAAGTCCACACCCTGCTCTCTCCGGGGGTGGGGTGAGTTGGTGAGCCGTTGGTGCAGGCTGCCCCTCAGGGCCGGCTCTGGTCCCCTGCTCCTCACTGAGCAGCCTCCAGGGACTCATTACAGGTTACGGAGCCTGTTGGTCTGGTCATCAGCGTCTAGCCCAGTTGTCCATGGGCAGCTCTGAGCCCACACAGGAAGCACACACCAGGCAGGCCCTTGCACACCATGACAGTGTCAAGATACTGGGCTCCAGTGACAGGGTGGGCTGAGCTCTCCATCCGGGCCCCACGGGCCCCCGCAGGCATGTGGACCTGAGTGTCCGGCATCCTGGTCAGCAGGGTCTCAGTGGACATGGCCAGCACTGTCCCCGTCACCTCAAGGCCTCAGCCAGGCCTCCTCCATCCAGCCATGCCCATCAGCTCTCCTGTCTGGAGGACAGTCTCTGGTCACTCCTCTTGCTTTGACTCTCAGCTTCAAGACTCCCCAGAGCCACCCACTAACGGACTCCCCAAAGACCCCAGCCGGGCACACACATCTCGGCTGCAGCCCACCTGCCCAGATCCCCTCCCAGGGGAGGGCTGCCGAGCGACCCCTGACCCCGACACCCTGACCCCCTCAGGCCTGAAGTCACCCCAGTGGCGGGGGTCTCGCAGTGCAAGCCAACTGCACTGAGCTCAAGCAGGTGTCTGCAGAGGCAGGTGGACGGCACAGGACATAGGGGCAGCACACCTGGGCCAGCCTGCCCCCTGGCCCTGGGGCCTCCTGAAGAGGAAAGCATCAGACACACGAGAAAAAAGCCCTCCAGAGCCTCCACTCTGAACAAGTGCTCGGCCCGGCTCCGCTCGCTCGGCTCTGCTCACGGGATCTGGATAAATGCCTTTCTAATGCAGATGGAGACAGAGATGCTGCAGTGTGAGGACCCTGCCGTCACCGGACGCAGTCTCCTCCTGGTCTCCGCAGCCTCGGGCTGAGGCACCACCTCGGGCAGGGAGTCTGCTCAGGTGCCTGGTGTCCACACACCTGGATTCTTCGAGCTGCATGTTCACGGGGGCTTCTCGCGAGATCTTCTCCAGATCCCCAGAGCTCCTGACCCACCTCCATCCCCATCAGGGGGTGGTCCCGCTGCACTGTCCCTGCAGCTGAATGCTCCTTGGCCCTCTCTGTCTCCGTCCCCACCCCTAGACCGTGGTCTCCTGGTCCTCCCCGAGGCCTTCCTCCAGAGTGTGTGGCCAGCTCAGACCCCGGGTCTCATGGAGGGAGCGTCCTCTGCTCCCCATCGAGGACCCCGACTCCAGTCCTGCTTTCCAGAAAACTCAGCCCCAAACTCAGCCCCCACCTGCTGGCTCTCAGCACAGAGTTCCTGGAGACCTGGAGTGCGGTCCAGACCTTGCATTGGGAACACTGGCCCCAGTCCACCTTCATGTCCTTGGCCCCAGCCCAGCGGGCCCCTCCCCTCTGCCTACATCCCTGCACTTCCCTGCTCTGTGCTCCCTCTGTGTTCCTCCCCCTCTGCTGGTCCAGAGCCCACCCTTCCTGTGGCTGGGAATCCAGCTGCTGGGAGCCTGCGGAGCAGCGTGTGCCATCACCCCGCAGCCACAGGCCAGCTGCAGGACCCCAGGATGATTGGCTTGTTTGGAGCTGGCAAGAAAGCAGACTGACTCCCGAGCCACCCTGGATTCCTAACGACCAACAGAAACATAAAGACACATCCTTACTCCAGCTGGACAACCCCAGAGCTCTCCCCCCAGGGAGGGGTCCTCTTGCTCTCGGCCCCCCTCTGTTTCTGTCACTGCGGCCTCCAGCCCCTTGGCAAAGGAGAACAGACGCTGGCATCGCGTGCAGAGACATCAGGGCGGGCGAGAGCTGATGGAGAGGGAGGGCAGAGCAGCCCACACAGACAGAACGCAGGCGCTCCTGCTGGCTCTGGGGTCAGCCACCTGTGAGCAACACAGCTGTCTGCCACACATGCAGGGTAGCCCAGTGGCCCTCCCACTGCTGGGGTAGATGCCTCTGGGTTCTGGGCTGGCTCCAGGCCTCTTCCTCCAGCTCACACACCACAGAAGCTCAAGGCAAGCTTATGCTCCAGAGAGGGAGTGGCTTCCCCTGTTGCTGGGGAAGGATGAGGATGAGGCTTGACCCAGAACCAGGAGCTTCTCCAGCCCAGAGGCGCTGCAGCTGGCTCAAAGTATCGCTTCTGTGAGAGGATCAGGGAACCAGCAGTCAAGATAATCCCCAGTGGCAAGAAACGCAGCCCTGGGAGCCTGGCCCCAGCGCCTGGGAGGTCCACAGCTGCCCGAGTCTCCGTGTCCAGGTCCACACCCGCCTTCGCCTTTGCGACTGGCCCGTTGTTCTCGTTGCTCAGCTCACCCAAGCCGGTGGGGTGCTTGAGCAGGGCACTGCAGCCACAGAGGGTCTGGACAAGCCTGCCGCACATCAGGGCCATGGGGCATCCTCAGCATCCTGCCCAGAGATGCCCCTCCTGCTCTGTCCCAGCCCCACCAAAGTGCAGTCACCCACCTCAGCCCTGGGCTCTTCTCTCCTGGTCGAGGTCACCACCCCTGCCACCTCCAGCATTGATTTTAGGGGCCAAGAAGAAGGACCAGGAGGAAAGAAAAGCCTTTGCTCCCTCTCAGGGGAGGGCAGAGGAAGCCCTTCCTGTGTCCACTAGGACCCAGGCTCCCCTGACCACGTTGCCCACGCTGAGTGCCACTCACAGCAGAGAGCTGCAGGAGCAGAAAACAGGGGGAAGGAGGGGAGGGCAGCAGAGGCCGCCACCCCTCTCCTCACGGCCCCTTCACTCCCATCCTCCAGCCCTGAGCAGTGCTGACCCAGGGACTCCACATGGGCCGGCCCTGGCCCCCAACTTGGACCTCTCTTCAAGCCCATGTGGGTTCTGCAGACCCTGCTATCTGACCTGGGCCAGACAGCATTTAGGACACAGTCTCTGCTGAGGAAGGAGCCCCGCCTTTGGAGAGGCCTCCCGAGGCTGGGAGACGTGCAGGTGTGGACTCACCTCTGGAAGGGGACCCGCTCTTGTGCCCACGCAGAGTGCCAGCACTGCATGCTCCTCGGGTGCTGACACTGAAGGCTGGCCTCGCCACACCGGCATCAGGCCAGGTGCTGCTCACGCTGCAGCTTGGAGCCGTGACCCTCGTTTTCTGTGCTGTCCTCTCCCAGAAGTGAGGTGGCTCTGTGTGACAGTGACCTTGCTGTCTGTGACGGTGACCTGATGGACCCCTGCAGTCAATAACAGCTGCACGAGACGCCGAGTGTCACTGTGACACGGACCAGCCGCGCAGCTCAGGCAGTAGGCAGGGAGCCGAGATGGGGTCCAGCGTGGCCACGGGGAGGCCAGGAGGCTCCCCGACAGCAGCCTTCTTGTTTTCTGCTCCTCACATGGCTCAGAGAGGGGCTTCAGTTCCCTTTGTCCACTTAGGAGGACGAAATGCCATCCGTGAGGCTCCTTCCTCATGACTTCACCCAACCCGGTGACCTCCCAGAGTCCCCACCTCCTGTCACTGTCACCTTGGGGTGAGGACTTCAACGTGGCCTGGGGGCTGGGGTTGCCTGTGTTCAGACTGCTGGACGTGCATGTGTCCTCCTCCCCTGGAGGCAGGGTACTGAGCCCTGCGTGGTAGCACCTGCCTGTCAGCCTCGTCTGACCTGCAGTGTCAGTGCCTGGGGGGGCCTCTGGGTCCCTGACGTCACTGACTGCGTGGGCAGGAAACGAATGAACAAGCAATGAGTGACGTTACAGGTGACATCTGCCAGTCCCGGGTAGGACGTTTAATCTAGACCCGTGGTGCCTCGGCTCTCTTGCCAGGCGAGGATGGCACAGTCTCATCTGTGCCACTGGGCTGCTTGTCGAGGTCACGCCATGACACCCACCCGTTGTTCCCAGGCCCCTTCAGCCTCCTGCCATCAGGTTTAAATGCTGCTAAACTGCTGGGTAAAAATGGCCTCTCCCGGGGCCGGCTCCTTAGTGTGCTTTTCCAGTCCCTCCTGGCTGGAGTCTGTTCTTTGCCTAGTGTCCACTGGCTGCAGGTCCTTTCCCAGCCCTTGGTTAAACGTCCCTGCGACGGTGACAGTACACTGTCATCTGTCACATGTACTGCCGATATCGTCTGCCCAGCCTCTCTGGGTCTCGTGATCACCGGGGTGACATCACCATGGAGCTGGTACGGTCAGTCTTGTCCACGTGGGGTACCGTTGCTCAGAGATCCCGCTGTGCAGACAGGAGGGAGCCTGCCTGCCTCGTCCAGGCGCTGGGGGGTTCAGGCAATGGCGTCCCAACTTGGAACTGCATCCCCCATCAGTAGTGGTTGCGATGATCACGTTTGTTTCAATGACCAAAAATGAACATTATAAAGAAAGTTGATCACCTGAATATATACTTAAAATGTTCAGAATTTATCTGTATGAGGTGGTTGGAACAGCCAAAGAACCTCATTTTAAAAAACAGCGATGGGTCTGGGATGTAGCTCAGCGGTGGAGCCTGGGCTTAGGGTGCACAAGGCCCTGGGTTCCTTTTTGAGCACACACAAAGCCCTAATCTGCGGATCCCAGCGCTCTAGGTGCTTATCTCTCATAGCAGATGAGCAGCGCCCTGACGGCTTCTCAGTGTAACTGTCATCTCTTTTGCAGAACTCCCTACAAAGTGAGACCAGTGGCCGTCAAGCAACTGTCTGGTAAGGCCCTGCTATCATTTTTTAAATCAAAAGGAAAAAGAAAGCTGGAGATAAACTACTTAAGTGTGTGCATGTGCCGTCTGATGCTGTCACAGAATCTGAGACCCTCTACTGCTGTGGAGACGGCCCATCCAAGTCCCTACCCTGACCCTGAGGACTCAGCAGGTGCCAGGTGACATTCCCCTGTATCTCCAGGAGCCTGGTGCCTGTCCCCCATTGTCCACGGGCGGCAAAGGCAGGCTTCCGACCCATAGGGCTTCTCAGGGTGCCTCAGCCAGTCAGCCGTGGTATTTCGTTACAACTCCATTTCCTTTTAGGTTTTTAAATCACTTTTATTTATGTACTGGTGATGCGTAATAAAATGGCCCCATTTAAGTGCATAGTTTGATGAGTTTTTAAAACTTTGTATGTCCGTGTCTCCTGTCACCAAAATCAGAATGCAGAATGTGGACACCACCTGGAAAGGTTCTCTGTGCCCTGCCCCGATCATCTCAGTCGCCACCTGGCCTGTGTTTGGATGCCATCGTTAGGTTGGTCTTGGGAGCTTCAGATGAGAGGCACTGCTACGAATCTGCCCTCTTTTTGGACTCCGCGTGGTTTTGAGACCCCTCCTGGCTACAGTGAGCACAGACGGTTCACTTTTTTTGTTGCTGAGTAGTTTTCCACGCTGTGGGATGCGCCAAGCGTGTTCTCCCTTCGTTCTCGGATGGACGTTCACACTACTTCCTCCTGGGGGCTTTGGGAACAAAGCTGCCCTGGGCGCTCCAGGCAAGCCTTCCTGGGGCACTTGGTAAATGCCCACGAGCAGGCTTGCTTGGGTACGTGGAGCGGTGCCCTCTCCGTGAGCACATTCCGCAGGATCTTTCAAAGTGTGGGGCCACTGCACGTCCTCCCAGTGCTGGGTGTCCCCAGGCTGTTTCTGTTCAGCTGCCTCAGAATTTATTGGCAGATGAAGGTTGAAATATGACCTTGTCGTCCTTCTCCTGTCTGTAGGTTTTAGTGAAATCCCCGCTCATCGGGACATCAGTGCTGTCATTAGTCGCCTGACCTGGGGGACATCCTGAGAAATGTGACATTGGGTGATTCTGTTGCACAAACACCAGAGCAAGCTCATTAAGATGCTGCAGCGTGCCGGCCGTGGTGGCTCTCACCTGTGATCCCAGTGGCTCCCGTGGCTAAGGCAGGAGTTCACAGCCAGCCTCAGCAAAAGCAAGGCACTAAGCAACTCAATTTAGAGACCCTGTCTCTAAATAAAATACAGAATAGGGCTGGGATGGGGCTCAGTGGTCGAGTGCCCCTGGGTTCAATCCCCGGTACCAAAAAAAACAAAAGTGCCGCAGCGTCATCAGGCCATGCAAGGCCTTGGGCCACCCTCGTACATGCAGGCCACCTTGACCAAAACACTGCTGTGTGATGCAGGAATGTCATTTGTATCGTCTTCCTTTAAAAATTAATCTGTGGAACTAGTTATGATTTTATTGGCTTGTGGTTTCCAAGAGCCGGCTTTGGGTTGCGTTGGTCGTCTCCATTTCTGTTGTATCGATCCTTCTCTTTCTTATTTACTTCCTTCTACGCTCTCCAGGTATTTTCCCCCCTGGCTTCTAAAGGTAGAAGCTCTATTGATTTTAGAACTATGTGATGAGAATGGCGGAAAGCTGAGGATTTCCCTGTGAGCATGGTCTCATAAACGTTCTGGCGTGGCGTCTCATTTTCAGTTTACCTGTGGTTTCTCCTCTGACCCACTGGTATTTAGAGGTGTACTGTTTGAACTCGGGGTACTTGAGTACTACCCAGGATCTTCCTATCGTGGATGTCCAGGTGAATGCCACTGTGGTAAGCGAACGCACTGCCCTGGTCCCGAGGTCATGCCGCTGTGGCCTGCCCTGGAGGTCCTCCCTGAGCGCCTGAAGGAAGGCCCGCTCCCCTGCTGGGCAGGACGTCCTGCGGGTCTGTGGGCAGGTCGATGGGGGGATCCAGGTCCTCTGGGTCTCTGCTTCCTTGGGGCAGACGGTCTGCGAGCACCAAGGGCAGAGTCTGGGAATGCCCGACCCGGGCTATGGAATCCTTTCCCCGTCCCCAGCACCTTCGGTTCTCTGCTCCGGGAGAGGAAGGGTCAGCCTCTGTATTCCAGTGGCCTTGCCCTTTGTGCTCTCAGGCTGTGTGCTTTGCCACCTGTCCTATGTCTCTGTGTGTAGGTTTGGAGTGACCTCCATGGGCAGCATCTTCCGTTCTGCATCTCAGCCTTGACCTTGACACCTCTAGACCCTTCACACTCAGTGTATCTTCGGGTATTAAATCTACTGTCTTGCTGCCCGTTTTCTGATTGTCCCATTCATTCTTTTTCATGCTCTCCTCTTCTCCTGCCCCTCTGTGAGAGTGAGCAGGTTGAATCGAGGCCCCGCCCCTGGCCTGGAGCCGTTCTCATGTTCTTCTTCACTGCACTGCGCTCCCCGGCAGTGAGCACGCCACCAACTCTGCTTTCAGGTGTTCGGGTCTGCGTCCTTTCTTGGTGTGGATGCAGGTTTGCATGTGAGCCGTCCTCCTCCTCCTCCTCCTGCACTCTGGGCACCGGGCTCGGCCCCCTCGGGACACACGCCCAGCTCTCGCGGCCTGAGAAGCTTCGGTTTGGAGGTATCCCTGCCTCACGAGGTTTTGCACCACAGCTTTGTCCTTTGACTGGCTTCTCGCAAGAGCGCTGGGGCCAGAGTCTCGACCTCGTGGTGCTTGAGATTTTCCCTGTCACTGGCGTCCGGGACTTTATTTGGATGGCTTTCATGTGGCTTTCTCTGTGTTTGCCCCCTGGGGTCACTGACCTGCTTCGAGTCTTGGCTTCACGGTTTTCATCAAGTGTGTGTTCTGCTCACTTCCTGCCTTCTCTGCTGGGACCCGCGTCCCCTGAGCAGGGGGCGGCCTGCCTGGCCCCACCCCAGGATGGTGCACCTTGTTCCAGGCTTTTTTCTGTTTGTTTTAATTTTCTCAGATTTTTTTTTTTTTGTTTTGTCTTCAATCTCACTGAATCCTTCCTCTGGGGCATCTAATCCACTGCCAATCTGGGCTTTTCCTGCCCAGGACTTTGATTGCTACTCCATGGATTCTGACTTGAGGTCTTCCCTGTTCCTTGTCACACCCTCGTGTCTTTTAGATCTTCCACTGGGGTATGATTCTGTGTTAGTGTCATTGCTGGGCTTCGCCCTCTGTCTGCCTGAGGCTCCTTCCCTGGACTGACTCTCCTTCTGGGAACAGGACATAGTTTTCTGATTCTTGAGAACCCAGTGAATCCTGCTTGTGGTGAAAGCTGGGCTGTCGACCGTCTGGATTTTGTTTTCCCCTACTGAAGCCTGTTGGGCCGACAAGAGCTGGGGGATTGCCATCTATCTGCTGATGCCTTCGAGGCCTGTTTTTGAGCTTTGGGATGGCTCCAGGGGCTGTGCCTTGTTCCCATTCCGCTCTTTGGAGCATAGC